TTCTTCTTCTTCCTCTGCAAAGATGCTTATTCACTTTTCTTTTCTCTTCATCCTCACCAGAAAAACTTGCCCAGGCCAAAGAAGAGAACGTGGGCTTACATCAGACACTGGATCAGACGCTAAACGAACTTAATTGTATATAACCAAAAACCGAAGAGTCTTGTTCCAACAGAAACTCCAGTGTCATTCTCTGCCTTGTAAGAAGTTTCTTTTGTTAATGTATCTTTGCTTTGCTGGAAATGTCAAGCCAATTATGAATACATGACCAAATATTTTGTATCAGAGAAGCTTTGGGCACCAGTTTAATCTGAACACACACACACACACACCCCCGCCTTTTCCTGAATGGCACCAGCTCTTTCAGCTCTATTTTTATCCTTAAGTTGCATTTATTCCTAAAATCGGCAGGGTATTTCGTATTTCGTATTGAGCATATTCTCATGAGACCAGGGTCTGCTTTCTGGGAGAATAGTCGACACGCTTTCAAGAACATAAGATTCTGATATCTAGTAATGGGTTTAAAATGCAAAAGAATATACACTCTCTGGGTCACCGGTGGTTGAACAACAGGAGGCTAGGGACCAAGACAGTAAAATGGGTGGGGATTTTTCCATCCAGAGAAAAAAATTAAAAAGGGCTGTTGTGGGAAGTCATAAACCACAGCTAGATTAACCTAGTCATCCTGGCCCTCTTCCATACTCCACTGCAGAACAAACATCCTCTGAGCCACCAGCCTGAGGATGCCTGGGAAATGATCATCACACTCACTCGAGTATTTTCCGGACACATCCTGAATGCTATGCTCATCCACACGTTTCATTCTAAAGTGGTTCTCTGACTTTAACAGCAGCCCACGCTTGTCTGTTCTGATGTAAGGCCGGAAAGTGCAGTTTAATCCTATCAAGCTCAGGCATAGTCAGATGACTGCTGGCCACCAAACTGAGCAAAACAAATACAGGGCAGCAAAGCAGAGATCAAAACTTAATTGGTGTAGCTTCATCTCCACACTTCAGGGAATGTCAGGTGAAAGATTTTCTTACCGGGACTTGAATTCCGTCTTCGGGACCAACTTAATAAAAGTTCAAGAAACTCCTGATTTAACTGGAGAATTGTGTAGGCAGGGGCTGCACATCTTGGTTTTGTTGTAGTTGTGCTTTCTCATTTAACATCTCAGAGCTGAAACATTCCACATTCCCCAGCAGTGTGGGGGCCGACTGAAGTTTACAGTTCTAAGAGCCACCCTGCTTCTGGCTTATCTGAATCCCCGGCCCCTCACTCCTATTTATTGAGCACCACACTACCCAGGAGATACACTAGCAAATTGTGCAAATGAATAAAATCCACACTCTAGATTCTTGCAACTGTATCATATGTAATAGTATCACTTTTTCTACATTTTGGTCAAATAAATTTTTACAGAAACTACCCTCTGTGTGAATTTAAGAATACGTGGGGACAAGCAGCGCACCTTGGCAGACGTCAATGGGAAGAGAAGATAACCGTGCCAAGAACTTAGGAAATGTTATATATTTGCTTTGTTCCGTGACTTCATGATAAAAAGATTATGACCTCTGTACTACAGATGACAGCACTTGGCCTCAGTAACTCAAAAGTTCCTGCTCTTTGTCATCCCCAACCCTCCCTAAGCCGGACTGTGCAGAATGAGTAACAGTTTCTTTTTTTCTTTCATTGAGTTTATTGGTACACTTTAGGTATACAGTACAATTACATTCATCATTGGGATCTTGTACCTTTACAGGACAGGTCTTGGTTCTCATTTTTTCCCCTTGTCCCTGCCCTCCCTTCACCCCCTCCTTCCCTCCCCATTTACACTTTATTTCCATTTATTGATTCTGTCGTATTTTTTTCTTTTCCCCTATTATTACCTTTCCCCTACCCTTCCCACTTTCCCTACACCTTTAGAGTAAGAGTTTCTGATGGTAAGAACAGGGAAGACAGTCTTCGCTGCCTAAATTTAGGAAATACCAGGCCTGCCTGGACAAGGCTTCCAATGAACTGTACGTATAGAGCAAAGCAGAGGGTTGAGGATGTACCTTAGTGGTAAAGCACTTGATTCACATGTATGAAGCCCTAGGTTCAAGCCTCAGTTTAAAAAAAAAAAAGGCAAAGCAGAAGTGGAAAAGGTGGAAGGTAGGGCTGAGTCCACACTGGCGAGAACCTAAAGGGGTCAGGAGTAGAGAACACTGAAAAACTGAAGTAAACAAAGCAACGCATTGGGAAAGTCCGCCTAGCGTTCATTCTCTGGAAGAACCAGAGTCAAAGTAGATTTCATGCAGTAAGGCAAGTTGGGAAAATGATGCAATAATCCAAGACAGTGAGTGCCTTGAGTAAGAGGGAAATACTGATCAAAAAAAGTGATCTTACAATTTAGATGACTAGGAGCTTAAAGTCACTACAGTTTCACTACCTGAATTGCTGGTATTTGGCTTCAACATCTTACCTTGGGGAAGGGAAGTAAGGAATCAGAGAAAAGAAAACCTTTAAAATGTTCATGCAGTATGCAAACAAGTTTCTGTTATCAACTATCATTAGTCACATCCTGGCAATTCAATGTGGAGTCAACACCGGGTTTATTTAGATAGCAGGTACAGGGAATATCAGTAAAGTATAATTCCCCTCCTCTTCATGCCATACATTACTAGACTGAGGTTCCTTCTTTGTGTACCTCTTTTCTCCTGCCCACCCCACTTGGGTTCTGATCTAATCTTAGGATAGTGTTTTAGTCATTCCGGTACCACAGCACTTCACATAAATAGCGTTCCCTGTTAATTGACCTATCCCAGCTCTTAGGGAGTTCCAGTCCTGTAAGTGTGGGTGGAAGAAAGTGAGGTTAGGGGCAGATTGTGAGGTGCATCGTACATTAAGGGAAACGGTTCTTGTCCTGCTGAGAGGCCACGGGTAAATATTCTACACTGAGCACCCTGCAAGGTAGCATCTAGGTTACAGGAAGTAAGTGGTCAGGGAGACCAGTGGAGAAATGTGGTGATTCAAACCACTTAGAATCTCTTAGAACTACTTAAAATCTCTGTAAGAACCAGGATCTGAGAGACCACAGAAAGTTGTCTAATTACCTTAGGGTTCACCAAGAAGGGAATTAGAAGTGAGCCTGGACCGATGAGTTCATTTGTGGACAGGTGAGTTGGAACGATCTCTGGCAAGTCCAAAGGTGGGTGGGTGTCCAGAAAACAGTGAAACGTGGGGGGGATCGCCAGGAAAATGAATAAAAATCAGCATTGTGGCATGTAGACACTGGAAGACAGAGGAATGAGGTCACCCAGAAAGTGAGGAGAGAGACAAGGAACCACGAGAGCAGCAACATTTAAAGGAGGTACAGGGCTAGGGCTGAAGCTCAGTGGTTCTGCCGCCCGCCTCGCAAGCACAAGGTCCTGGGTTTGATTCCCGGAACCAAAAATAAATAAAAATAAAGGAGGAACAGAAATCCCCCTAAAGGCTACAGTGGGCTCTGCCAAGCCACTGAGAGGAGGAAGTGAGGTGGAAGAAGAAACAGGCATATAAAATGGGCAGATACCAAGAAAAAAGAGTTTCCAGAGAAAGTGACCAAGCAAATCAAACACCAGAGGCTGAGGCTAAAAAGTAGTCATAGCCCTGGCTGAAACTCCTTACAAGGCTGGGTGAGTTAAAACAGGAGCTGAAAGGGAAAGGAGAGGCGGCCAACTTCAGGCCCACCTTTAGGTGAGTCCTGAGGCCCCTCTGACGGCCTGGACGGACCTAGAAGGGACTGAACCAGGCGTGACAAGCAGGAAAC